AGACCTCGAAAATTTCTCCATTTATGCGAGTCGACTTTGAACCATCGCTTCCGGTGCTGTGCACATTGTCTCCATCGTTGGCCGGCACTATCCGGACGGCCCATTCCATTTTACGCCGTTGTCAGTGTGCCAGCGAAGTCCACCGGAGTTAGTGGAGCTAAAATTGAAAATCTCAGAGACTGGGGAAAATCGACAGAGATTAGCGAAGAGAAATGAAGTCAAATGCTAGTGCAAGGCAGAGCTGAATTCGAGTATTGGTCGTTGCGTTTCATATCGTCCAAGGACGTGGTATGCACGCAGAAGAGCAGCGAAAAACTGCTCAAAAATAATCAACAAAATTGGAAAAGCCATGAGCCCAAATAAATGTTGACAATTCTGACAAATACATGTATGCTGAACAAAGTTTTGATTAATTATAAGTCTAATCAAATTGCTATTTTAAGAGATCAAATCAGCGTTTGAGAGAATATTTTAATAGGCATGGAGCAATTGGTTGCAAGGTGAGCTGTGAAATATTGTTCTGATTTCAGTCAATACCATTTCCATGTTTTCATATCCACAAAATCCCATTTCAGATCTCAGATGCAGAATACCACGGTTGTGGAGACTATTTGATATTTCATTGTAAATGCTTGTTGGAATCAAGTAAAACGAATGCCCAGAAGGTGAAAATCACTAGTATTTGGAGGCATGTTGAAGGCAAATGGCTGATTTATCATGAAGAGTACGCCAATGACGAATAAATAGGCACATCAGTGTAAATACTGCTCAGACTCTACTTGTTTGAAACTCAGCTCCACGGGTGCGTGTCATTGCGTGTGACCCAAGTGACGGTCGAGTTCAACCAAAGCCCCAGGCCGATTTCATAAACTAACCTACTCTCCGTTATGAGGGTCTGGTGTTGATTTACCACGACCGCCAGCCTTGCGGTCAGGTCTGCCCTGACGCTCACCACCATGGCTGTTTCAGTAGTATTCTGTACAAACCATTCCCAGAACTTGTACATGCTGTTGGGATGGAGGGTAAGGTCAAGGGAGAGAGGCGATCGCTGTTGCCGCTCTCTTTTAACGAGGTCTCAGAAGCTACTAGGATGAGCGAATTTTCTTCCTACTTAAGATTTCTTTGAATTTTAGGTAAATTTGTGGTTCCCAGCTCTGGTTTCGAAAAATCCTCTTAACCTTAAAAACTACACTTGTTGTACAGACCAAAATTAGATTTTCCTCATGGTATGTGTGAGTGTTGAAACTAATTTCGCCTATTCCATCGTTTCTCCTGAGAACTGCAGGAAAAACTCGAATACTCATTTCACCAAGAACCACAATGGCTGCCTTCCCCGTCAGGGATAGCTTTAACGTACGGATTATCCGGTTGAGCAGCTCAAACTTGGCCACCGCGCGCGAAAGACGCGACAACCCATAGTGCCGGGTAGTCGCGCGCGATTTCGGCGCGGAGGGCGCCCTGAAATACATAACACACAGTTTCCTGGCAGTGGCATTGTTCCGTGGCAAGATTTGCGCTCAACTTTTAGAATAGGCAGAAATGCGCATAGATGACATTCTGACATCTGTGCGCTACCCCCCCCCCCTTAATGTCATGTCAATTTAAAAAAAGGCACTTACGATACACTCAGGACCGAGTTTTGATAACTAAGAGCGGGTCTAGAGGCGCCATTTCGGTAGCCCAGGAGTGCGCACTCGTACAGTCCGTGCCTAGCGCTTCCTGCCCTTTCAGATATATAGATGCTGAAATTAACAACATACGTCGCACGAAAAGCGGCTACCCGAAAGCCGCCTATCCGCAATGAGAATGTCTGTATACTGATCTCTGCAGGGCCGTCTTTTCGACGCATAACCTCGCTAGAGATAAGCGCTTCTGTCAAAAACTTCACAAAATCCAAGGTCAAACGGTCAGCTGTCTTTTGCGGCAACGAAAAGCAAAAGAATCAAACCATAAATTCTATAACTTAAGCAGGACCATCCGTCCATACGAGAGTTCGCTGCTGATGCTTTTTACCATTCATTGTGAAAACAAAAGTTATCGAATTTCTTAATTCACAAGGCTCGTGTCGTACATACTCAAATGGTAACCAACTACGCAATCAAGGCGAGCTAAAACCAAAGAAACAAAACAACCATTTGATATGCAAAAAATACAGCTAATCAAACAGCGACAATCCGCTACCACGCAATAAAAATCTCATCAAAAATATTGAAATCACTGGGGGAATCTAGTAAGTGAAACATGTGAACGCTAAGTAGATCACTGTTGCTGACTTTACAATGAGGTACTAGTGATGCTTTCCGATAATTATACACTATACAAATTAGTTAAGTACACAACATACCCCTGACTCTGTACCTATATTAATTGCAAGGCGAGTGAGCAATTGATGACCATAGAATCTTTCAAAATCTACATACAGAAATCTAAATCTAATTCTAAAAATAAGCAAGAAAAAATCAAAAAGTGTAATCCTTTTTCTTCTTCTTGTCGTGCGTATTACAGGCAAACGTGTCATGGCCAAACACTGAAAAACAGTTTTCACCCTTCGAAAGTCTGACACTATTTTCTGAAATGTTTTTGAAGGCGGCCAGCCACATTAGCAAAACAGTGATTGGCATGCTGAACATACAGCAGGAGTTTCTCAGTGAGTAGCCGCATGTAGCCCGCCTCTGGGTGCCCTGCTCATACCAATAACCTCCGATTTCGAAACCTAATTGCGCTTCAGGGGCTTATACCGTGAAAATTCTTCGACACTATTTCACCTTGGATCGGGTTGGTAGCAAGCATACTTGTAGAGCTTCTCTTCTGTCTTACTGCGAAAAAGCGCCGACACAAACTTTCCGGAAATGTTTCTGAGCAATTCAACGGCCAACTTGCTGCACGCGATGGCGACAGGAACTGGCGTGCTGTGAGGTGGATTCGACTTTTGACCCAGTAGATCAAACCCATTATGATGAATAAGGACTCAATCCACGCCTGGGGTGGATAGTGGTGTATGCGCAAGAGTGGTGCCACGGCACAGTGATGGGATCGAGATCCGGAGTCATATATCCTGATTATTAAAGTGTCTTCATCCTTCCAGGCCTGGCTATAATGTACCGAAGCTTCTCTGGACAAACGCCTGATGTCATACTGTCCAAGGCAAGTCTTGTGAATATTCTGGCCGAATCGCAATCAGTGCCATTGCGATTTCGAATAAAGTAGAATGCACGGCGCAACTCGAAAGACTTATTGTCGCTGAGTAGTTTGTCCTTTCAACCTTTACCCATGTGCCCTCAAAAATAAAAGATGTACAGTGCTCACACCATCAAAAGAGTGAGACAAAGATTTCGCTATGTCACTGAGGTTTGACTGCTATTGCTAGCGACGTACTTAAGAATTGAGCACGATCGTCTCGCTCGTCCGTCCAGTGCTCATGATTCGCCTCTGTCCCGTTCGCCGCGTTTTAACAAAGACTTCCACTGACGCCCGGAAGAAGGCCCTCATTCAGTTGTATCATGGTTCCTTTCCGCGCTTACACCGCTCAGCTCCCTTCACAGGTTAAGAAAGCGAGAGATTACGATAAAGTGCGTATGCAGCGTGGAAGTACATGCACCATTGGAAGCAGTAGTCAGGGGCCCAAGGAAACGAAATGTTGCGTTTTTGTGGTCAAAGGTGCGCTAGTTGCAGCGTACAAGGCTTGCCATTCCTTTCTGAGCCCCGCCACGGTCTGTGCTCCGCCCCCAGCAGCAGCGCCCTTCGATTGCCAATGTGACGAGATATTCCACTTCCAGAGTGTATCCTATAACTTTTCATGGGATGCGTGATCAATCAAAGCATGATGCTTGCTGAAATGATAGAGGCTATCAGCATAACATGTGCAAACGACCTCCTAATTGGTTGCTAGCTCGTCCATTATCGGAGGTCAACGGGCAAAGAAAGGGGTCCCATTTTGCGCCTTCTTGACGGATTTCTTTGCTTTTTTCGCCACTGGGGCATTATTCAGCATCTCCACTTCCACTATGAACCCAGTCCAAACTTATCGTAATCCCTCGCTTTAATTCATTCCAAGATAGCCAAAACCAATAGATCAAGTGCCAGGACCAAGTCATAAACGTAAAAGTAATCTCTTTCACCCAATGAATTCGTCGCACCTATCAATAAGAGCACGATGTGCGTTTAAAGACCTCAGCATTCATCACCGATTGATTTGAATATCACTTTCATTGATAAGATTTTTCTGGAGAACTCCGCTAAATTAGAGTAACTCAAAAAAAGAAATATGAGCTTACTTTCACAGTAATCGCAGTACTCTCGAGATGGTGGTGGTGGTTTCTTTGGCTTTGTTCGGACCATCTCTTCTTGGACTTCTTGTTTCGGACAATCCTAGAACATAGTGAAATGTCAAAAACGCCACACACCAGAGCAAACTATCCTATAATTTGTACTACTTGGCTACTGTAGTGCTTATGAAAATTCGTCATTCTGTATACCTACAACTGATACCATATATGGTCATCTGCGAGCCACCGCAAAGCATCGTTCGTAGTCAAGCTCCTCCCAAACTTTGACACAGGTATAACCCCTGCCAGGCTCTACTCCTGTTTCCATCACTTGATTTGAAATCTCTTTACTAAACCCACACGCCTTGCGATGAAAAGACTCAAAGAATCTGCCTGACACAGTTATTCCCTGGAACGACATACATAGTATGTATCTTACCATTAGCAGGAAAGACTTTTGATTTCCCATGGAACTTTGAATGCAGACCTGGCGACAGTTTCTGACTTAGGAAGTTCACGTAGCGATCTGGTTTCCATATTTGTAATTAGCTTTCTTGACAGTACATTCACCCAGGTATACATAAAAGGATCCACAGCCATTCTGCATCAATTACTACTGAGAAGCGTTTCCGATAACCTCGCGATAACTGGCCTGCTTTCCTGTTTTTGGCTGAAAGTGATCTGCCCCTCCTTCACCCGCTCCCCCACCCCTCCCTCACTCGATACATATAAATGGGCTTGTACTTCATTTATCGTGAAACTTATGATCTTCCCTAAATATTTGCGTCGCCAAGAATCGCCTAGCGCCTATGACGAATGCTGCATGGTATTTTGAGAACCTCACATCTGTTCTCACTTATATTCCTAGAAAATGGGCTTAAGAGGATCTGAGATAAAGACAACTGGCACTCCGCTATAAGCTCAATACCGTTGAAAATTGCAACATTTGGAGCTCAATAGCACAAAGATCATTGACAAAATATTGACAGATATGAAAAAAATTAATTTTAAAAATCATTTGTAGTTTGTTTAGGCAAAACGACATTCCGGAATCAAGAGCAATCTTCTAGGCCTTGATCAGAATTCGGTATGGATAGGTTGTCCGGTTCCATCTAATATTCTGACCACACCAGTACTACTCAGTGTTTTTTTATCCTCCCAGACAATTCTGGTACCAATTAACCGACCCCGGAGGGATGGAAGGGTACTACTAGACCTACCTCCGTCTCATGTTGGTCAAACGTTTCACAGATATCACAGTACATTCTTGGCTTCACTTCACGATTCGCAGCCGACATTAGTGGCACATTCACTCTGAAAAAAAATTATTGTTATATACTAAACCACACACTAAATACGCAAATGATAAACGGAAACCATGCATAAAAAC